AGCCGGATTCCTAAGTCTGAGCCCTAGAACTGCAGTCCCAGCTCCTGGCCAACTGCTGGCTAAATGTCTCCACCTCTTGCCAAGAGCTGCTCTTCTGCCAGGCCTCCCTCTTTATGTTAATGACATACCCTGAATCCCTGGGACAAAATTGGACACATGAACCATCTTGGATGCGGGCTCTGAACCGCCACATTCTTCCCTGAGCTGCCCTCCAAACCACTTGAATCCTTTCCTAATCCCGCCGCCACCCGCCTCGTTATCTGTCACCAGAACAGTGATCCTCAAACAGTTTCTAGCATCACATCTCCTTTGTTTAAAAGAATTAAAGTGGCATCAATCAATGATACTTCTATAAAAGTGTTTTTAATTAAAAACTTTTTAAAAAGAAAGAAAGTGAGAGAAAACAACAGAAAATTGTTTGGATGGCTTTGCCTTCCTTCTTCACAAGGATAGTCTCAGCTTAACATACGAGACCTACTGGTGTGGTCTGAGGCGTCCCCTCTCACTAATTCCTCACCCTCATCCTTCATGTCTGCCATTCCCAGGCCCTAACCTTGGGCTCCATTGCCAAGCAAGGTAATAAGAGCACGGGCTTTGGAGCCAGACCAGCGTGGGCTCAAATCCTCATTCTGACATTATCAGATGTGTGGGAACCGACATAATGTTTCCTTAAGCCTCAGTGTCTTAATCTATAAAAGAGTGGCGATCATTCTATCTGGGTGGACAAGATGCTATAAGAATTAAATGCAGCTAGCATTGACAAAATGCTCAATGTGATGGCAGCAATTTTAATTATCCATGAGTTGGGGGGTATTTATTGACTGTGTCTGCATGTCCTTCTCTACTCGTATACCTCAAGTCCTCCCCTCTCTTTGAGACTTGGCTCAGAAGCAGCCTCCTCCACGAGCTCAATACTGAGCCCCACTGGCGTGTCAGTGGAGTAATGACTGAGACCAAGGACTAAGTCAGACAGCCCTGAAATCAAAGCTTTCCCCCAGCACCTACCAGCTGTATGACCGAGGCCAGCCTTTCATGGTCTGAGCCTGTTTCCTCTTCTGCAGAGAAGGGATAATGAGCATCCTGTCTTATCCAATTATTATAAACACCACAGTGCCTGGCACTTGGTTAAGTAAAGACTCACGAAATGGTAGCTCTTAGTTTCAATATCTGCTATTCTTATTGCTATAAGGATTCCCCACCTCTGGCTCGTACCATGTTCACAGTCATTCAGTTTTGAACCCCACGCATTTTTATCAGGTGCCTTCTTCATGCTGGTCAGGGTGTCTGGCATTTGTCTTACTCAACAAAGATTTTGTTTAATGTAGCTGAATGACAACACTCTGCATCTCTAATGCCTCTCTGAGTCTCACTTATATACTAGAGGCCATAATGGCACCTGTCAGACCTGCCTCAAAGGGAGGTTGTGAGGACCAGATGAGAAAATAGATATGAAATAGCCTGGAAGAGGTCAAAATGCTTCCACCATGTCCCTGGACAAATATCTCACAACTTTGGCTAAGTCAAAGCTACATTCAGTAAATTAATACCACATTCAGTTGGAGGTGGAGGAGGT